GGGGCGCCGCTGGCCTCCCGGCGCTTCACCTCACTGAGCCTCGCCTGAAGGTTGGTGGCCACCAGGCTCTCAGCGCCAGCTTTCCATCAGCCTGTGCTCACCTCTCGTATCTGGGTCCCCTGGGCAGCCCGTGCTCCCGATAGGTCCACCTGTGTCCCTCGTGCTCTTGCCCACCTCCCGAAACGCAGACACTGGGAACCCCAAACATGTGGGGGCCTGCGGCCCTGGGACAACCCATGCTTAACCGCGGTGGTCTGGAACCGAACCTGTGGTCTCTCTGAGGTCTGCCAGGGTCTCGGCAGTCCAGAAGGCTGTGAAAATATAGGAGCGAGTGTCATCTAGCCCTGGGGAGACACCTGGGGAAGGAGGGGCAGTTGTTGGTCAGAAGCATTTCCTATGAGAGATTACATTTAAAAGCAGATCATGAAACAGCACGTGTACCATGAACTTGTTCTTATTTGCCATGCAGGCCGTAGGGAAACATCTGTGGGCCACGTGGCAAGCTGTGGTTTGGGGAGGGGGGTTGTGCGTACCCGTCGTTCTCTGGCTATGCTTGTCTGTGTCTCCTGTGTTCCTTGCTTGTGATATACACACTCACAAGGTTGGCAACAAGAAACCACGCGGGAGCATCCCTTCAAAGCAGCAACAAAGATGATCTTGCGGGCCCTTGGGACTTGGCCTTGGCTGTGTCACCTACGCGCCTGCTGGCAAGGATGGGGGCGCAGGTTGGAAGAGAGAGCCCGGAGAGCCTGTGGGGAGTGCGAAAGGGGCAACGAAGCGATTCTTCAGCCCAGAGAGTGAAGCGGCACAGTGGGTTAGGCGTCCTGCGGCTACCCAGAGGTGGGTGGTTCACGCCCACCAGCCACTCTGCAGGAGCAAGATGAGGCAGCCTGCTTCTGTAAAGATGTGCCACCGCAGAACCCCCTGGAGCCGCTCTGTAGGGTTAGTGTGAGCGGAACGGACTTGTATGGAAGTGACACACTGGGGACTGAGTGGTGTCAAACTGTGGCCGGCCAGCTGACCTCGCTGCTCTCCAGGCCTGAGGCCTCTGTTTCCGGAGAGAGTGGAAAACAGACCACCCTGGCTGCAGGGCCACCCAGCTGCACCCTCCCAGAAGATGGGGGCCGTGAAGAGGGCCAGGGCAGTTTGGGTGGGCAGGCCTTCTAGAAGGTGATCAGTGGCCCCTGCAGAGCAGAGGACTTAGTGGAAAAACGTCAAGGGCAGCCCACCAGCTCTCCTCTGGGTGTGAGGGAACCCCGAGCTCCTGTGCTCTCTGAGACTGCCTGGGGCTCCCTCTGGCTGCGGCTGTATCTTGCCTTGTCACGGGTGCGTTCTTGGGGTTCACACTAGATGTCCTGTTCCCAGTGTCGCTCTAGGTGTTGACAAGCAGCCCTGCAGCCTCACCACTGCCCAGAAGGTTCTGTAATGGTAAACGCCACTCGGCTGTGGCCAGGGCCGGCATTCTGGGACTGCCCTCCATCTCAGTGTCAGAAACTCTGGGTTCGTATGACGAAGTCTTCTTCCACTGTCCATGGATAGCCATGGGCCCCCTGATGGATTGAATTGGCTCCCACCTCCAAAATATGTGTCAGCTTAGTGGGGCCATGCTTCTCAGTATTATGTAATCACGTTCCATTTTTGTGGTTTGTAAATCCTTGCCTCCATGAGGTTAATGAGGCAGGAAGCAGTCTAGGATTCTAGTTGTCTCTTGAGTTAATTTCTTTTGAAATATAAAAAAAGATTAAACAAGCGAGCTGAGATCAGGGAGACCTGCTACCACCAAGAAAGAAGAGCTGGGAGCCAAGCATGTGCTTCAGATCGAGGGTCCCAGTGCAGGGAACCTCCTAGAAGCAGGAGGCACAGGGAAAGCCTACCCTGAGAGCCATCTCTCTGACTTTGAACTTCTGGACTCCTAAAGTGTAAGGAAACGAAGTCCTGCTCATTAAAGCCACCACCTGTGGTCGTTCTAGAGAACGGAGGCCTCAAACCTGAACTCGTCAAGTCAAGGAACAGGCTGCTCTGGGTGCCCTTCCCAATACTTCCATCTGAGGGAGGCTGGTTCTCTCTTGTGTTCTAAAATCCTGTTTCCCCCCACAAATCCCCGATGTGGACAGGGACTCCCTGGTGGCGCATATGGTTAAGTGCAAACCCACCAGTTGCTCTGCAGGAGAACAGACCTGGTGATCTGCTCACATAAAGCGCACAGCCCGGGAGACTGGATTGAGTCCCTGGGCAGCACAAGCAGTTAAATGCTCAGCTACTAATGTCAAAAGTTGGAGATTCAAGTCCACAGATGCCCTTAAGAACAAAACGTTGCTGATCTACTCCCCCACAACCAGCCCTTGGGAAGGCTCTCGGGAACTGTATTGAGTTTTGCTCTGGCTCATGCAGGGTAGCCATGCGTTGGGATGGCTTGAGTGTAATCTGCACCCTTAGGGAGGGCGACCATGGCAGTGGGCAGACCCCATACCCACCTCAGCGCAGTGAACAGAGGCAACCTGGGCTCCCTTAGTTGGGCTTGACCTTGGGCAAGCTTCTCCTGAGTGTGTTCTCCTCCTCAGGTACCCAGACTCATGGTATCGTGACATCACGTCCAACAAGAAGTTCTTTTCCCTCGCGGCGACGTACAGAGGCGCCATCGTGGGAATGATCGTAGCTGAGATAAAAAGTAGGACCAAGATACACAAAGAGGTAAGCATGTGCTAGCCCTCTTGGGCTGGAGGAACCCCGGAATCAATTGCCCGCACGTCACCTCTAAGCCTTGAACCCAAGCTCCCTCAAGAAATCCTCGTGACATCAAACCCCAGTGAGCTCGTTCAGTGGGCCATCTCCAAGAGAGAGAGAGAGATGGGCCAGGCCACCGCCACGCAGTCACACTGAGGCGCAGAGCAACCAAGTCCAGGGCGGGGAAGCAGTGTGGCTTAAGATGGCGAGAAGGTGGAAACACCAGGCGAAGAATGTAACCACTGCCACCAGTTGCACGCCTAGATAGTGCTGCATGAGTGTATGTGCTCATGTGAGTCGTTTGATACACACATACACATGGAAGACAGGTAAGTCTGTGTGGCCTGGCTCGTAACAGAATCAGCCCTTGTCCTTTGGCCCCGGTCCTTTGGCCCTTGTCTTAGTTTCTGCTGAAATCCAAGCAGGCGTGTGAGGTTTACTCCCAGTTGGTGTCTTCCAGGGTAACCTGCCCAGCCTCGTCTTCTGCGCTGCTTTCTTGTCATTTTCTCTCAGTGCTAAGACATAACCCAGGAAAGGAAACATTGCCATTTTCTGGAAGGAGCCATATCCTTTTGATCTTTTTCTCTTGCTTGGCATTAACATCGATCCAAACCGCTTTCTCCTCCTTCCCTGTGACCTGCTCCCCAAGACCCCTGGTGCAAGCTCATCCTGGGTACCCCATATACCTGGGTTGTAGCTGTCCACATTCCTTTGGGGTATGTTTCACGCAGTAGTTCAGGAATCGCTGTTAGAAACAAGGCCCACGGAGGCATTGCATGGCAACCACATCTGGTGCCTGCGGTATTTTAAGCCAGAGTCCTGGTGGCACAGCGGGTTACACGTTGGGCTGCTAACCAAAGTTCAGCAGTTTGAAGCCACCAGCCCCTCTGTAACTCTCTAGTGACAGTCTCAGAACCCACAGGGGCCATTCTACTTGGTCCTCTAGGGTCACTACGAGTCAATCAACTCGATGGCCGTGGGCTTGGTTTAGGGTGTCCCAAGTGCACAGCTGTGAGTGCTTGATACTCCCCCAAATCATGCCAACAGTCCCACCTCCCACGTTGGGCTCCTGAGACTTTCAGAAAGAAGGATTCTGCCGGGACTTCTGGAGACCATTATTGGCAGGACTCTGAGCCAGCGGTAAGAGTGTGGCCCCAGCTGAGTTGGAGAACAGAAAAGCGAGTCTCCAGAGATACTTGTCATGCAGGGCCTGTGAGCTGGGAGAACATAAGGGCCCCATGGTGGCTGGATGTACGAGTCTTCCAGAAGCCTTTTTTTGGGACCAAGAGAGATGGATGGTATAGACAGGCAGAGGGGAGTGGACAGCTCCTCCCCTAAACCTCCTCTCCTTGAGGCCACTTGGATGAATCCTTAAGGAAACTCTGAAGCTTCCTTTCTGTCTGCCTTGCCTCTTGAACACCAAAGTGTGTACACACACACACACACACACACACACACACACACACCACACCCCGAGTCCCCACCAGCCCGGAGAAGCTATTTTTTTGTATGTATTTGAATCTTGGCAGCATTTTATTCAAATAGCCCAAATACCCTCAAGTCTGTGTGGGGGTGGGGGGTGGGGGTGGGGGTGGCTTTCTGCTCCACCGTTCTATTCCATTCCCTTCCCCCACTCCTGGGAACCGTATCCTGCACCCTATAGATATAAAGCCAGCCAGAGTCCACAGGAAGCGCCATTAACCCAACTCCATTCTTCATCTTTTCCTGTAGGATGGAGATATTCTAGCCTCCAACTTCCCTGTTGACACCCAAGTTGCGTACATCCTGAGTCTGGGCGTGGTGAAGGAGTTCCGTAAGCACGGCATAGGTAAGGGGCAGCCAGGCCTCCGCTGTTCATCAGCCCGTCCTGATGCGCCAAGCTCACCGGGTCTCTGGTCTCACCATCTTGAGTAAGAGCTGTATCATTTCCTGCTGCCAACCCCCCTCAGCATTGGCCTGAAGCCCACCCCTTTCCATATGGCCGGGTGCCCAGGGCTGGCATGATGAGCAGCTCACTGCCCAGCCCAGTCCACAGTGCTTCTCCAGCCCCCAAGACAGCTCTTGGCTGGCACTCAAACCCACCACTGCCATACAGAGTAACGGCTGCTCTGTGTTGCCACTGCCTCAGCAGTGCTCAGCACTTTGCTGGAGTGTGTGCCTGTCCTGCTTGGGCCATGTGGCCACTGAGCCTTGGCATCCACATGCACACCCTAGGACTGGCCAGTCCATGTTTCCTGGGTTTAGATTTACCCTTTGTATTGGGCCAAGCCTCCATGGTGGGTTTAACCCCTGGGAGAGGACCCCCAGGCCCTCCATAGTTTAACCAACAAGCCAGCCTTGCACATGGGGCTGTAGGGACTTGGGTGGTGATGGGTGGTTCCAGAAGCCTGGCTGTGGATCTCTCGGGGTGGATTCCTGCAAGGCTCTTGCCCTCTTCTCTCTGCCCGGTCACCCTGCTGAGCGCCCACCCTTCTCTGCCCTCCCAGGTTCCCTTTTACTTGAAAGTTTGAAGGATCACATTTCTACCACCGCCCAGGACCACTGCAAAGCCATCTACCTGCATGTCCTTACCACCAACAACACAGCAATAAACTTCTACGAGAACCGGGATTTTAAGCAGCACCACTACCTCCCCTACTACTACTCCATCCGGGGGGTCCTCAAGGATGGCTTCACCTACGTCCTCTACATCAACGGTGGCCACCCTCCATGGACAATCTTATATCCTTTATCTCAGGGACCATGCCACTCCCCAAAATGGGCCGGAGAGGGCTCTCAGCTGGCTTCTGGGTGCTCTGGTCTCCTTCAGGCAACTTTCAGGTGTGTACACTTATGAGTACAGTGTGCTGACCCAGTTCTCCCAAACCAGGAAGGCACCAGAACCAAAAGTCTGAGCCCCTGCTGTCCAGTCAGTCTTGACTCACACTGGCCCTCTGGCTCTGAGTGGAACTGCCCTCCCCCTAGGAAATCTGCCTGGAAGCTGACTACGCCGTCTTTTTCCTATGGAGTGGCTGGACTGCTTAAACCACTGCTCCATCAGGCTGTACCTGGTGAAAAAGAGCTCTCTCTGGCACTCAATGTTCCCCAAGATTTCAAGTGGATGTGAGGGTCAGACTTCAGCCCTGTTGGGTGGAAATCGATCCATGCACTTGTTGATGTGTCAGTCCATTTATCTGTCCAACCACTCATCCATCCACTCAACAAATACTTACTGAGCTGACCAGTCAGCTCTCGATGCCTGGGACACCACTGTGAAGTAAGCAGAGAAAACTCCCTGCCCAGGAACCTCAGACCTGACCTAAGAGGTAGCAGGCTGGTGGGACGGAACACAGGCCCATACAGGGGTCGCTTTCCTTGCAGGGACACCTGGCTCAAAAGTGTGCCCTTGGCCCTGTGACCTTCTCATGAGCACTTCTGGCAAGTAGGACGGAGGTCAGGAGTCAGTGTCTTTCTATTTTCAACCCATTTTCATTTTTACTTGACCCCACTCTGGCCAGTCCAGCACTTTCCAGATGCACAGCTTAGTGGTGGCTTAGTGTCGCTCGTGGTATGCAGCCATCACTGCCGATGCCAGATCTCCCCAGGAGAAAAGTGGTTCCAAAGACACCATGCGTGTATGCATGTGTGTGCATGTGAGAGGAAACTGTATGTGCTTCTGTGTGTGGGTGTTTGTGCCAGAGAGAATTGTGTGTGTGACAGTCATAGGTCTGTGTGTGTGTGTATGTGAGAGAGAATTGTATGTGCCTGTGT